TATATATATATATATATTTGGTTTGAAGTTTTAAAAATGTACATAGTACTGTACTTTTCAACATGCTGATAATGTTTGATACAAACTGTTTTCAGGATGCTTACCTCTTATATACACAATGAAATTCCACCATTCCTTGTAAAAAAACAATTCACTACCTTGGCTCGGTATACAATTGATCTTATCAGATACTTTTTCAGTAAAGCTGTAGATTGGATCTTCTCATTCCATCTGTCCATCGAAATGCTATCCAGATATTTGCATTATTTAGCAATGACTAATTTGACTGCTATAAGTAAAACCTAATGATTTTTTTTAAACTTACAGTTCTTTTTCTGGCTATCAAATGTGTGTAGCAAATCTGTCCTTGGAGAAAACTGAATCTTTTATTTAGTTATACAAGACATTTTGTTTAAACACATTGTTCCAAAATTCTCATACTCTATTGCATTCCCATCACAGATGAATTAATGTTTCCTTTGACTGATAGGCTCACCAACATCTCATTGAATTTTGAAAAAGTGAGATTCTTACTGTTGTTTCATGCCACTGATGCAAAAGTTTAAGATGCAGTTTCTGCATGGATGCTGCTGAAACTCCTTGATACTGCCATATATTATCATCTACTTGTTCTTCTAAGTCTAAAACCCAATTAACACAGCATGTAATTTATACTTTGTACCAAATTAATAAAAAGGAGTTAATTTTCAGCTGCTTGGAATTCAACATTCAGAACACCTGCAAAGGTATTCAGAAGACTTTGGTGTAAAACTTCCCATCATTTTGCTTGAATGTTCAAAAAGAAAGAAGGAGGGAGTCCCCCACTCTTAACTTATTCTTTGTGTACTTCTATGAATATTGCCTGAGAGTATCTGGAATTCCCTTCTCTACTCTTTGTTTATCCAGGCAGCTACAGTACTACTTCCCACACCCCCTGCCTTAATTAGGTAAGGATGACTGGTGTTGAAATAAAGGGAAGTGTTGCTCTTTTATTACTTTAAGCTCCAATGCACAACTACTATGTTTAGTACATTTAAAAATGAAAGATCGTTCATTTTTCATCTGTTTATATGTTTATTAATAATATTTCTGATTTCATTGTTAACTAATTAACACATGACCATTCTTTTGTACATAGCTTTAAATTTTAATATCTTTTTTTAAGGGGAAAATATATGTGGATGTGATAGGTAGAAGCTGCACATTAATTTCTTAGATAGGTTCACTAGTAAAAGAACTCGGAAAACACTTTAAAGCCAAAGTAATTTGGAGTTCAGTAAACTTTAAAGCATATTCCTTGCACTATTTCAGTCGAATGCATACTAGATCATTGTTAAAGTTCCTCTTAGCTGTTTGCTTTTTAGAATGGAAATAAATATGCAATACATTATAAATGGTGTGCTGTTGCTATTTAGATGACATGCAATGCAATTGTGTGCTTTTCCATTCCCTTCCCTTCCTTTCCTTCCTTCCTTCCTTCCTTTCCCTTCTCCTTCTCCTTCTCCTTCCGTCCTTCCGTCCTTCTGTCCTTCCATCCCTCCTTCTTTCCTTTCTTTTTGCATAAGGAAGGTTTTATTGAATACTGGAATGTAGTTACATGCTTGATGTGCCTAGGGAGGCATTAATTGTTCTTGTGTTTTTTTGAAGAGAACAAACTGGTTTTAATCTCCCTTTTAAGTTTTACTTTTCTCTCCTCTGGGAGTAACGTACTACAAAATGTTAGGAAAAGCATATAAATCTGAAAGGAGAACATTTCAGTCTACATCATTTCCCCTAAGAAGAAGAATAAGGTTTGATATCAATCCCAAACAAATGGATTTTTTTCCCCAAAGAAAATACATTATTTAAAAAAAAAAAGTACAGTTTTTATGTGGTGTGAAATTTTCCTGACGTTCTCAGATTGAGAAGGTCTGAATGGCCAGATAAAGAAAATATCAATAAGGAAAAAAATCCAGAAATGTAGGCTGATTATACCGTTGAGCTAGAATTCATAAAAACCCAGGTTCAAATTACCATTCAAAGGACCAGTGTTTCTCTCAGTGGAGGTTGGGTATTCCTCGTTTACTGAATGAAGACTCATCCTCTAAATCAGCATTTCTCAACCTTGGCAATTTTAAGAAGTGTGGACTTTAACTCCCAGAATTGAATTCTCGGTTGAATTCTTGGAGTTGAAGTCCACACATCTTAAACTTGACAAGGTTGAGAAACCCTGCTTTAAATCAACTTCTTTTTGAGGAGAAGACACCTCATCTTAATGTGCCATATTTTTGGACTACAAGAGAGTTCTCAGTCCAACTAAAGTAGAGGTCCCATTTATCCAGAAATTACTTAGAAGATTGACGATTAGAAAGGGCAGCTTATGGAAAGACGGAAACTATGATGTAACTTTAGAGAGAGAGGATAAAATATAAATGCATTTATAACCACTGTCAAGAAGATTGGAAGCCACTTCCTTACAATCTTTTCTTTTTTCTATTTTCTTTTCTTACTATGCACTATTTTTTAATATAATAATATATATAAAGAAATTACTCAGAAGAGACACTTCAGAATGTGTGGGAGCATGAGTATAGCAGCTATTTCTTTTTTTAGGTTTTTGTGATTGCTTTAAAATGGTGCTTTGGCATTTCTGAATAATTTTTGGAAGCATGCACAGCCCTATACAAGAATACAAAGCATTGCTAAAAGTAATGGCTCTCTTAAGCTTGAGTTCTTTTCTGCTGAGAATATGGAGATTGGAAATATTTAATTTCACAGTTGGCTCCAGTCCATTACTCCAGCCCCATTACTCATTGGCCAGTTTTATATTGTCCAGACCACTAGCAGTCTATGCTGGATTTTGTTGCATTTTATCAATGGGTTCTGACCTGAAGTAAGGAATTCCTTGCCTTCGCAGCATCAGTCTTTTTGTTGTGAATATTTCAGGAATGCAAATCTAAAGTTAAAAAGGATTAGCCACACCAATCAGACATCGCCCTCTTATGTGTTCATACTTAAAAATATGACTTTATGAGAAGAAAACAGGAAGGGACTTGGAAGACTGGCAGTTATAATCTTGCAACTCTTGTTAGTGTGTCAGTAACAATTACTACAAAAGTCAACAATTACACTGTTGTAATTATACAATTAAGTTACATAAATGCAGTGTAGAAAGGATCTTAATTTAACTGGATTGTGGCTTTAAGTACTAATCAAAGCTTCACTTCCTTTCCTCTAGTGCCATTGATTCTCATTTTCTTGGCATTTCTTGGCAGATGACAATAAATTCTCTTTTACAAGATAGACAAAAAATTCAATAAAATAAAAATGGAGTTGATTTTGTGGAGACTAGGGAGAGAGTTATTGTGAACTAGCAATCATACAATATCAGGGACAAGAGGTTGGCTTATTTGAACTTATTCACAATCACCTGTGTACCACCTTTGTTTAAATTATAACACGATGTATATGATAGCAACACAATCAGTCATAATGCCTTAGCTAGTTGAGAACAGACTGATGTTTGATTTGTCTGTTGTATCAGTCTCTAGCAAAGAAATAATCAACTAATGTCTCTTCAAAGGCTACTCTGTGGAATAGGAACCAACACAGATACATTTGTCTCCCATTGTCTACCTAATTTTTTTTTCTTCCTGCTAATGACAAAGACTCCTGCTAATGACCTTTGGCTGGCTAAATTCCTCCCTACTCAAATTACAGTACTAAAGGCAGTACTGCAGTATGGATCCATTCACCCACATCTTGATTTTTCTCACCATGGCCCTGTATGTCACTAGTTTTACTGAGCCTAATTTGCTCCAAAGGTCCCATTGTCTTTAGTGTTTCACTCCCATGCTCAGTGCAACCGCTACTTACTCAAAAGGGTCACTGGGGTCAAGCCTCTGGAGTTCGGGTGGAATTGGTATTCTTTTGTAGTACATCTCCCAGTCAAAGGCTCCACGCATGGCGTCCCCTGCTTGTGCCTCATACCCAAAGTGATTGTGGTCAATGACATCGATCATGGGACACACAATAGTTTTATGGTTCAGTGCAATCTGGTCTGAAATATGAAAACAGAAAATACAAAAACAGCAGGACAAGTCAAGCCATTTATCACCTTACAATAAAAAGCCCTTGGGCTTCTTCCCTCTTCTTCTCCTTTTCTGTTTTTAATCGGAAGATTGCCTAGGCAAGTCCCCATGGCCCTAGAAGCATTTCAGTTTTTGTATCTGCATCCAGTTTCTGTCTTTACTGGGCTTGATGCGCTTGCACAATGATTAGAAGCAATTATAGTTCTTCAAAGAGGGAAGCATCCCAGTGAGACCATCAAAGTCAAGCCATGTATATCTTTGTCATTGTGCTGCTCTAAGCTGTCTCCAATCTGTCACCTAAGGAGCCAACTAGGATGCCCAGGAAAAAAAAAAACCTGAAAGAAAAATGCTCATTTGAGCTTTGCATACAATATTCACAAAGAAAATGCTCCTTCTTGTTCTTGAAGTATATTTGACTTTGCTGTAACCCAGTTTCTACTTTTATAGTAGTTGAAAGGCAGAGATCTTCCAGTCCATTACACTTTTATATACTCTATAATACTATTTTATGTCTGAATTAGTCTACAAAAATTAATCTGCAAAAAAGCTCCAAAGTTTTAGGGTATTTATTTCATCTCACAATATTAATGGCATAGAGGGGATTCAGATGAATCCCAAGTGAAACTGGATTCTTTAGGCTGATTTTGTCAGACTGATAGCCAGAGTGACTATCTCTGATGACATCTTCCTATCTAGTAAGATCTGACACAGTCAGCATGTTTTGGGTTGCCCAAAGAAGTGGAGCCCAAGAAGCATGCCTTCTCTATTGGTGCTCCTGCCCTTTGGAACAGCATTTGTCTTGAGATTTGGTCAGCCCTGACCCAGTCTGTCTTTAGAAAGGCATTAAGACCCATTCTCCCCACCACCACCATCTCAGGTGTTGGGTCAGGAATCATATGCCTCACTGAATGAGGGTTTTTTTCCCAGCAGTTTTGCATTTGTATGTATATTGTTGCTTTGGTTCATGGATACATGACACTGTCAGGAGACGTGGCTTTGATTAAGCATGAGTCAGTGTTTCTGAGCATTACAGAAAAGTAGAAACTTTCAGCTTTTCCTTAGTGGCACAAATATAATGAAAGCAGGGTAGGCAGCTACAATGGGCCCATAGGTGCAAGTGGCCTATTGGGCTCCCCTTGCTATCCATTTCTTGCTCCACACCTTCAGATTAGATTGGGTGAGGTATAGCTACACTAACTGGATTGTCAAACTGACAATCACTAGATGGTTGCAAAGTGATCCTGAAAACTCTAACTTGTTGGAGTTTGGTAGCTCTGATATGAAATCTAAGAGAGAAGGCTTTCAGGCTCTAAATGCAGACTTTAGGGCAGGAGGAGGGGGGGGAATGGCTACAGGAAGTTGAACAGGAAAGAAAAGTATAGTTTGTGTGACCAAGGGGATTAGGAGAAATCTTTGTGGAGCTCAGATTTGCTGCTGCTGTAGTAACAGTATTGAAGAAGCAGCCACAAGATACTCTGCTTCCCTTTCTCCTGCCCACCATCAATTTCTGGCCTGGGATGAGAGCTTGCTACCTGAACTTTTCCCTCTAGGAGATCCAACTGGAAAGTCTGCCTTGGGTCTCAGAGAGCTTTATGTATGCCCTTGCCTTTCCCCATTATTGTGGGGAAATGCTTTCCTCTCATCCTTGACCCAGTAGAAAACTACTTTGAAGTTTGCTGCCCCTATTGGTAATCAGTATCCTGCTTCAACTGTCTCTGTTTCAAGTCACTGACTTTCCTCCAAGGAAAGAAGTGACAAAACCTAATCACACCCTGAGGGAACAGTGTCAGAATAAGAAGAAAAACACCTTAGCACTTACGTTAGAGCTAAGGACAACTAAAGCCTATCTTACTTATGGACTGAAGATGAGATAATGATGATGTCATGGCGGTGCAACAGGAAAATGATATACCAGGACATGGTTGTGCTGTGGTTAGGTGCAAGTAGAGAAAGCATTGTCTCTGCAAAACATGTTCCATTCAGATATTTTTTGTTCATGAGATAGAATAGGAAGGGACCACCATCAGCTAAGGACCACCACCAAATCAAAATACTTACTATAAGTAAATACCGTTTTTAGGAATTGCACCCAAATAAAAACATTTGATTGCACAATGAATCTTTTTGTACCTCTCTGTCTGACATCTGAAAGGGTTATCCTTTCAAAAGGGATAGAAGAGGGGCAGAAAGAAACATAGGCAAAAGTTCTCTAATGTAACAATTCCTGGAATGCAAGAAGTGGAGCAGTCTGGGAAGCTTCATTAGAGAACCTTGTAATAATGTGAAAGAAAAAACATGTTATAAATATGTTTATAAGTTATTCAACCATGTTATAAAGAAGCATCAGGGCTAAGTAGGATGAAGTGGGATAATTGGAAAAGATGCTGGATCTCAAAAAAGCTTCATAAACCTGCTTTGGCCAGTGGCTTCAGATACACAACTTTTGACCAGTAGAATAATGTCCAAAGTATTCTGACTCAGAGTCCTCATGACTGCCACTGCAAGTAATCGAGGTTTCATTTGTCCCCTGAAGTTGTGCCTGTCACTAATAGGGTTTTGCTGTTAGTAGTTGCAATCTGGTCTACGAGTTCACAGAGAATCATTCATTTTCAATTTGGTATCATGAATTGCAATGAATACTGAATTTCTGGATTTTTATGCAAAGCCTAGGATACATTTACTACATAAGCAATTCAGAGAAGGCCAACAAGAACATTACCTGCACATAAACCATTGTATATTTTAAAATGTACTAGTGTGCCTCTAGAAATATATAATTTAAATAAAAACACTACAATAGTTTTGCATTATGTTTCAGGCAAATGAACTAGAATACTATAATTGCATTATTGTCTTGAATTTATTTTGTTGACTGTTTACATTGTAGCTGCTCATCCCGTGCCCTACATTTTGGCTACTGGCAACTCCTATTTTGCTCACTTTAGATAATTCTAGCTAGGCCTGATGGAGTTCAACACCACATGGAGAGTCACACATCATGCCTTTCAGTATCCTTCAAATGAGTAATAACTTAATCCTAAGTATACTTACTTAGGCTAAATTCCCAATTACTTGCCCACTGGTAATTTTTCTTAGCATTATGATATATACATTTTATTTCAGTCAAGGTCCAAAATGAAAGTTAAAGGCATTATTGCACCCAACTTCTTCTGATGAACGCGTCTATGAAATTTCTTTGATAGCCTTATAGAAATGATTGGCCACTGTCTTCTTTCAGAATGTTTCTTTAGTGTCCCAGACTAGTCAACAGGGTACCATGTTAAATATAAAATTCTAGATTAAGTTACTTTATGCTTTATGCTACTTACTTAATAAAGGAGGTAGCCAGTTCACATTAACTTCACAGTGTGAATCTAAAAAGGTCAATACTTCTCCTTTAGCTATTGAAGCTCCAAGTAGTCTGGTGCGAATAAGTCCTTCCCGCTTTTTGGTGCGCACAATTCTCACTTTGTCAAAACGAGCCATATATTCCTCCAGTTTCTCTTTTAAATGTTCTACAAAAAACATGGATAAGAACATGAAAACGTAAGATGGGTAGGGGTAACTCAAGAATCTATGATCCTATTCATCACACATATACCAATAACAGCATTCACATTGCGCTTTTTTTCCCCCAGAGTTCCTAATTATTCGCCAAACTGTCTGAGATGCTTCATAAATTGCAAATGTTCTTTGTATAAATGCACAAAAGAAGCCACTGACATTTTAGACCTCTTCATGGCACATTCACTGTTGGCAAACTTCCATTCTGCATAGAATCATAGTCATAATAACCACAAGATGCTCATCAACCCTCCAGAGCCTGCTGCCCAAGGCCAAACGAACATTCTGGCATATGGTTCTGTAAATGATACCCTTTCCAAATGAGCTTGCTAGTCCCATTAAGTATGAATAAATATGCATAGGATGTGTGTGTGTGTGTGTGTGTGTGT